TCGTATTTAAATGAGGGCGGGGCTTGGGGGGGGGGGCGTGTTCATGACCGGTGCTGAGTCCACGGGGCGTGTTCATGACCCGGTGCTGAGTCCACGGGGCGTGTTCATGACCCGGTGCTGAGTCCAGGGGGCGTGTTCATGTGTTCCTGTTTCACCTGTAAACAAAGTTTTGTCCTTCCTCTCTGACTCATGGTTCTGATGGTTCTGATGGTTCTGATGGTTCTGCGTCCACAGACAGTTCTCCTGTTTTTCTAACTTCTTTAGGTACTGACATATTCCAGATTCACACACACACATTTTCCATCATTCCCGTCCAAACCAGCGACTAATCCTCTTGATGAGCGTCTGAAAGTCAAGTCCTCCCTGACGGGTCACGTGACCCGCTTATCCAGAATCCTCCAGAAAATGGAGGGCTGCTGATGACGGCGCCTGAAAACAACAATTCAAACACCGTCAATATGTGTGAGGCGGGGCTTTAAATCATCAACCGCCTGCAGCATTGTCAAATAATCCGGATGTCCCCCGGAGCAGAACCCAGCTGTACTCCACCAGACCCCACCAGACCCCACCAGACCCCCTTTAGGCCACATGTTGACGCTGTCACTGCAACTTTCGGGGTTGTCCCTAGCAACAGTGGGATTCCCTCTCCCCTCAGCCCCTAACCTTCTGCTGCTGAATTCAGATTTATTCCAGAAGTGTGGGAACGTAAACCAAAGCTCTTGTGTCAATTTGATGATTTCTTTGTACTGATGTTGAAAACTGTTTGAAGATGTTTCTGTCTCTCTGACTGCGGCGTTCTCCGTCCACAGGAAGAGTGTTCAGACCAAAGTGGATCAGATCCTGGTAAGAACCAAACCGCTTCTTTTATCCATATTTCTATCCTTTTACGGTCTGCAGATTCTTTAAAGAAGTTCCTCCCCTCTTTCTGTTCCTCTTCAAATAGCAAGAAGTTCAGCGTTTCTCCGACAACGACAAGCTGTACTGTACCTCCAGCTGCCCTCGGGACCCGGCGCCGGAGACAAGAGGTCACACCTGTTCACCTGTCAGACAGCAAATCCAACAGGAATACAGATGTGTGTGTTTTGAATGGCTTACTGCAGTGATTCCCAAAGGGGGCCAGACTTATGACAGGGGGCGGAGTTATGGCAGGGGGCGGGGTTATGACACAGCATAGTGGGATGGCGTGCAGGTAAAGGTGAGTCCTCAGCAGATGTTTCATGTTTGTTAGTTTTTACAGTTTGTCGTCACACTGAAGAGATTTCAATGAATTTAAAAAAGATGTTTTATGAAAGAGACTGAACTTTAGTGTTTAATCTGAAACACAGACAACCTCCTGAAGTTTCTCACTCTGAGCTTCATGAACACAAACATCTGAAGGTTTCTCCTCCAGCCTCCTCGTCTTTATTCTGCACAAAGTCAGAAGACGTTTTCACATCTGCACTCCGGATAATATCAGATATTTACAGGAGGACATAATGAAGAGAGGAGAACAACATACTGACAAACAGAATGAAGAGAGAAACATACTGACAACAGAATGAAGAGAGGAGAACAACATACTGACAAACAGAATGAAGAGAGGAGAACAACATACTGACAAACAGAATGAAGAGAGGAGAACATACTGACAAACAGAATGAAGAGAGAACAACATACTGACAAACAGAATGAAGAGAGGAGAACAACATACTGACAAACAGAATGAAGAGAGAACAACATACTGACAAACAGAATGAAGAGAGAACAACATACTGACAAACAGAATGAAGAGAGGAGAACAACATACTGACAAACAGAATGAAGAGAGAACAACATACTGACAAACAGAATGAAGAGAGGAGAACAACATACTGACAAACAGAATGAAGAGAGGAGAACAACATACTGACAAACAGAATGAAGAGAGAAGAACATACTGACAAACAGAATGAAGAGAGGAGAACAACATACTGACAAACAGAATGAAGAGAGAACAACATACTGACAAACAGAATGAAGAGAGGAGAACAACATACTGACAAACAGAATGAAGAGAGAACAACATACTGACAAACAGAATGAAGAGAGAACAACATACTGACAAACAGAATGAAGAGAGGAGAACAACATACTGACAAACAGAATGAAGAGAGGAGAACAACATACTGACAAACAGAATGAAGAGAGAACAACATACTGACAAACAGAATGAAGAGAGGAGAACAACATACTGACAAACAGAATGAAGAGAGAACAACATACTGACAAACAGAATGAAGAGAGAACAACATACTGACAAACAGAATGAAGAGAGAACAACATACTGACAAACAGAATGAAGAGAGAACAACATACTGACAAACAGAATGAAGAGGGAGAACAACATACTGACAAACAGAATGAAGAGAGAACAAATACTGACAAACAGAATGAAGAGAGAAGAACATACTGACAAACAGAATGAAGAGAGGAGACACATACTGACAAACAGAATGAAGAGAGGAGAACATACTGACAAACA